TTTCCTTTCTCCATTGCCTGTGATTTGGGAATCTGCTTCTCTGCACTTGTCCAGTTCACTGAGCCATTTATGGCTGCTCTCTCAATACAGTTTATGTTTATGGACTCTGCCATTGAAAGGGGGGGGGAATGTGGCATTCAGCTTAATCATTTACAAGAGTCCAAGCAGCCTAGGAGAAGAGGTAGAAAGGGGATTTCCTTGTCTGTGCATTCCCACTGAGAACACAGAAGGAAGAGGGAAACACATGAATGGTGTTCTGTTGTCTTCTGGGAACCAGGCGGAGGGCCTTCTCGGTAGTGGCACCCGCCCTGTGGAACGCCCTCCCACCAATGTCAAAGAGAACAACAACTACCAGACTTTTAGAAGACATCTGAAGGCAGCCCTGTTTAGGGAAGCTTTTAATGTTTGGTGCATTACTGTATTTTAATATTTTGTTGGAAGCCGCCCAGAGTGGCTGGGGAAGCCGAGACAGGTGGGCGGGGTATAAATAATAAATTATTATTATTATTATTATTATTATTATTATTATTATTATTATTATTATGTTGGCTCCACCATTGTGAATTAAGACACATTGCAAACATCTCAGCTCCTCAAAACATTTGTTTTATATCTTCATCTCCCACCACATTTCTTTGGTGACCAACTCAGCCTGAAAGTTGCCCAATTAGCTTAAAGCTATTCTTAGTAAGCACTGTTATTTGTGAGTGTCTGCAACACTGCTTTTGACCACTGCTTTGCCTCAGTATATCAGCATTGTCTGCTGACTAGTAGCAGCTTTCCAGGATTTTAGAGAGGACCTTTTCCCAGTCCTACTTTGAGATGTCAGAAACTAAACATACTGTACTGTATATGCATTGCAGCTGCCCACCCCATCAACATCTGCCACCTGAGGCAGCTGCCACACTCTTTGTAATGGTAGGGCCGGCCCTGTAAATTACAGAGCAGGGATGGATGCATTACTAGAGACCTGGGGCTAATCCATCTTCCTGATCTTGCCCTACATAGCCCCTAATTTGAAGGACTTCCCCATTCTTCCTTGTGCTTGCTAGATTGCTTTTTGTTGTGTGTGTTTTAAGTAACATAATTCCATGTGACACATTTAGCATCATGTCTAGTTTGGCTCAAGAATCACAATCGTGTGTGAGCTGCCAGTGAAATGCACAAGGATAATTCTATGAGGAGATGGAAGGCCAAAGTAGACATAGAATTAATTGTTTAACCTCCCCCCCCCTCATGATTCTGGCAAAACTCATGCCGCCATGTCCCCCCTCCCTGCACAAGTTACTATTCACATTGACAGCAAAAACTCCAATGGAAAAGCTCAGATAAATACAGATAGCAAGGGCTTTGTTTTTAAAACACACACATACAATAAGGGATTTATTCAATAAGACAAGACCTTTCATAAAAATGTAGTTTAGATGTGTATGGAGCATAATAGAAAAGATGAAGAGCCTGTCAATTTTGTAGATAACAACAGGGATATTGATAGATGGACCCACGAGATCATCAAATCAGTCATATCCTTCAGAGAGGAAAAGGCACAAAGCAAAAGCCATGTGACATATTAGATACAGCAGGGAACAGAACTGCTCTCAAATGTTTGCACCAAAGTCAGCCAAGTGTCTTGGGACTTACAAGATCATCTAAAGGAAATCAGCATTGAGGAGGCAAAATGTGAAGCCTAATTGAAGGCAAAGTACTTAAACCCTTCTGCATTTGCTGAGTAGTGATCTTACAGATCTGATTGGGAGTGCCTAACTAGAAAGGTATCAAGTGTACCAACCAAGCAGGTAGCAGAACCTCCTTTGATAAGGCTATTCCAATAGACTAGGAGTCAAATGTTGCCTTAAAGTAACAACCCTTTGGGTCACTGGGGTGCAGGTTAGCATGGTATGCAATGAATCCATATGGGTTTTTTCCTGATTGATTCACCATATAGATTGTCATTTTTACCAGGCCATTGCAAACATTCTAAAAGTCAATTAAATGAAGATGTACTGATCATGTGCTCCATATTTGTGGAAAATAAAATTAGCACACTTGTGCAGATTGTGGGCTCAGCCATGTGAACCATAACCTGCATCCATACCAGAGGATCACCATAACTTGGTATTACTCTGGATGTTTCCATGACTTTGTGCTGGTGAACCACACTTGCCATGATAAGTTCATGGCTTCAAACCTGTTTCGGACAATCTATTGCCCAGACCTAATACACATCACGATTTGCGATATATTGCCAGGTCAAAAATTATGAAACTAATATCACAATACGGACTTCAAACCAGTTTTGGACAATACATCGATATATTGCCCAGCCCTAATCTCTACCATGAAACTTCAAGATTGAATGCAAATATGAATGATACTGTTGGTATCACTAATCAAGAAGGACTATTATTTGACTAATCAACAGTTAATACAAGAGAGAAACTTGCCTAACATGTCTCATGCATGAAAGAATGCTTTTGAGCATGGAAAAGAGCAGCAAGTCTTGGAAGTAGGTGCAAAATAGATGTGCCAAGATTACAGAGCAGCTTTTGGCTGTTGTGCAACATTGGGCGGGGGGGGGGGGAGTTCTGTAAGCACCATCTTTACTTCAAACAAAATCGTGTTTTAGAGACAGTGATTTCACCACCACCACCAACTGGCATGTATCTTTATGACTTGTCTACTTCAGTGCCTCAGAAAGGGCAGAAGGAATTACTGTGATGCAAGAGCAGCCCTTGCTTGAGCAGCTTAAAAATATCCATGTGTTTGCTTGCCACATGGCCTTTTTTAAAAAAACCCAGCCTGGGCAGACTTTTATCTGTGCCAGGCTTTTGTTGTTGTTTAGCTCAGCTTTATGAGTCATTGTTTTGAAAGACTCTTGCCTCCTTGGAGTTGCTTCAGAAAATTAGGGCTACGATCTATTCTGCACTCACCCAGGAGAGAACCCCATTGAAATAATTGAAATGTGCTTAGATGTGCATAAGATTGCACTGTAAATATTCGGAATGTCTGTCTCTTACTAGGGAGGGGCTTGAACTTTGTAGAATAATATTTTAATAGTCCATATCCTTGCTTCATAATCTGGAGCCTCTGAACCTGTACAAGAATAAGGATGCTTTCTAACGCTTGGGAGGGTACAGTGCATAATACAAACCACAGCAGTTGCAGTCAGTGATGTTATGCAGACCCATGGGAAGGCAGACTTCTGGCTTGGGGGACCTACTTTGCTTTTTACTAGAACCCAGAGTCAAAGAATTATTCTGAGTACCAGAACTAACCGAGCACTCAATCCTTCCATACTAAAAGCCCACCCACTGTTGAGCTTTCATTTCAGCAGTATAATTTGGAGGGGGGGAAAGTCATTTTTTTATGCCATTGGGAGTCACAAATCCTCCTTGATCTGCTTTAAACCACCCATAAATCCACCAGTATATTCCTACCTACACCCCTAGTGTAGACTATCCTATTTATTCTTTTTTAAGTAATTGACTTCATCAACATATTATTCTAAATTATAATGAAATATAATTACATGTTTGATTCTGGTAGCACCTGAGATGCAAGACTCAGGGATATCTTCTCTCTCTCTCTCTCTCTGGCTGTCTCAAGGGAGGGTACGAGCCCCTATCAAGATGATGCTGAGCAATCAGTAGTAACTACCTACGCTTGCTTTCTTGGTATAGAGGAGGCCTGGCAAAGGTGAGATTTTGTGAGGACAGTCAGCTGCATAAGAACTGCCATGTGCCTTTAACCCACAGCAATTATTAAGAGTCCACTGTAGAGTGCATCAGCTTTCACTCGCCACATGAGCCTCATTATATCCCGCCACACAAAGAAGTCAAGCTGTTTTGTCTCCTTGTTGCGGCTGTCGAAGTCTTTGCCGCAGGAGTTCGGTATTGTATAAATCTCAGAGGCACATGTGCACTAAGCCCACAACATCCATTGTGCTCTGGCATTTAGAAGGTTTTTATTTGATTTGCTGGCCAGCGCTACCTCACATGCCTGTCTGTTAGCAGTTACAGGTGTGTGTGTTTGATTGGGCTTTCCCTCTAGTTTCATACAGCAGCTTTGAAAGAAATATTTGTTTATATTTATTTAAGCAATTTATGTACCACTTCACTGCAACTGTCGATAAGCAGTATACAGAAAATATTACACAGAAAAGTTAAAAACTGGTTAGAACTATGAAACCAGATATTCAACAGGGAGGGGTGCTTGTCTGATCTCAGCTGGAAGGGTCCTTCGAAGGCAAAAACTGGGGCACCATGTTCTGGGATACCAGACCCTTATATATAGTGGGAGGGACCCTATATATAAGGGTCTGATGACTTCTGTTTCAGTGTATGTGAATAAGTGTGCACGCACACAAAAGCTTATACCCAGAACAAATTTAGTCTGGTGCTGTGGGTTAAACCACAGAGCCTAGGACTTGCCGATCAGATGGTCGGCGGTTCGAATCCCCGCAACGGGGTGAGCTTTTGGGCACTGGAGTTATATGTTGGCAATCATCTTCCCCGTCAACAGTCTAGCTGCTGCCTTTTGCACTAGCTGGAAATGATCAAGTCTTAAGGCTACCGGTGTAGGGATCTCTGTGGCCAAACTATCCCTGTCCAAGAACAGCTGTAGTTGATGTACCGGCCGTAGCTAGTAAAGGACACTCCTAGCCACTGAGGCTACCTGAGCTTCTAGCAGCAAAAGTGGATCCACAAGCACCCAGTAAATCCCAGCTTGTTCTTTCAGAGGGAACATACCGGTACCCATCTTGGCTCAAGAACAGCTGTGTCTGTACTCATCACTCTGTTGTTCTGTTGCAAGAGTCAGATATGACATGTAGGGAGTCAAGTGACTCATATGAAAGCAGACTTTAGACCAGAAGTGGCATAGCACTTTCTCTAAAGTCAGGGTCCAGTTTGTGTTTTAAAAGAAAGATCCTAATCACTGATAAAGAACACAACAAATTACCTACTTTTGAAGCATGGTCTAAAAAGAGAGAGAGAACTGAGTCACATTCTGCAAGTTGGGTTTATTTCTCAATGACAGAATTTCCCAAGTCTTCCCTCGAGAGGTTTGCTTCCTTTGTACCAAACTTTGAAGTCATTGTGGTGTTCTATCGCATCCTTCCCTATCAGTCTGTGGACACAGATGTGCGTTTTGCTCCTAGCCTTCAATTCGGCATCAGACCATTTCTCAGCCTGGGTGACAGAACAGAAACAAGCACTTTCAGAACAAGAACATTCATGACGGCTTATCACCCTGCCTTGATCCCCTTGCACAGCGCTGTATTTTAAAATACAGCACTGGAGGAGACTCAGCTGAAACCCCAGAGCCTTGAGAGGTGGGAGACAGCGTGCTGCTAATTTCCACAGGAACATCAAAGCCGATTTTAAACATTTAAATGCTACGTGACGCAACCAGCCCACAGAACCTTGAGCAGCTTCAGAGGCAGCAACTGCAAATGATGGAAAGCGACGCTGCTAAATAAAAATATCCCTCAAGTCACAAATGGAGGGCTATGTTCACTTGGCTGGGACGCGGCCTTGCTCTTTATCTACCTATTATGGCACACGTTCAGGGAAATTAATGGAGCAAACATACTTTTTTAGTCAGAACAAAGTCGTTTTCTTTCCAGAAATAGTAAACAACAAGGCAACAAGAGAGTCGGTGTGACTGGAATAGCAGTTAGGGTGTCGGACTAGGACCTTGGAGACCAGGATTCAAATCCTCACTTGGTCGTGAAGCTCACTGGGTGACTTGGGGCCTATCACTGCCTCTCAGCCTAGTCTACCTCACAGGGTTGTTATGGGGATTAAATGAGGAGGGGAAGACCTTGAGCTTCTTGGAGGAAAAGGTGAGATATAAATGCAATACCTATAAATAAATAAATACAGGGTAATGTCCAGATTACATCCTCCCAAAGTTCCCAGAGCGTCACAGTACAACCAATGTATACACGGTGTATATCATATTCAGATGGCATAACTAATCATTTTATTGGTGTAGGGTTTCGGTTATCTTTGTGAAGATAATAATGATGATGGTTTAGCATGGAGATTAGCACCAGCAAGCCGATAATTAAAATATCTATTTTAAAAGGGCCAACTGAAACTTCAGCCCATCTCACCCTTTGGTCTTGAAGAGCGGTTTGACCCAGAAGAAAAAATGTGTCGTACAATCCAACTGATCCCAGTGAATTGGCTTCTAAATGGCATATTAGAAATAAACACCCCCAGAAAGAATGAAATGCACACCCAACAGATTTCATTTCATCCCACATGATGCTGCCACCTGAGGAAAATTTAGCACTTACAAGCAAACGTGCTTCGGGATGATGGGCACTTGAGGTAAAATCTTGGAGTGTAACCAAAGGGATGTCAAAACCATGAGTTGTTGATAGCACAGGGAGTGTATTCTGAAAGAAACACAACAAAGCGCACCTGTCAAGAACAGTGAGCTGAGGGATGATGGGTGAGTCTTTTCAGAGCACAACCAGGATGTGCTGTGCAGCAGCTATGCCAAAGGAACATAAACCACTTAAAGCGTAAATAATTGCAGAATGACCACATTGGCCTATTATGAGTTATTGTGGTGTTGTATTGCAGCATTATTATGCTGTTCCTTTCCTCTTCTGTGGAAAAAGGCCCTGAATCACCCAAGATGAAGAGAGCTGGATAATGATTATGACAGAAAAATACAAGATGCTGCAACCTCCATATCTCTGGCTGAATCAGCCTATTCTAAATGCATAATGTCTGTTTAACATTTTTATCATGTCCTTCCTCCAATAGCCCTATAGAATATATGGGATTATTGCATTTCACCTTCACAACAACCCTGCAAAGCAGCCTGAGGACAGGCATCAGAGTCATAAACATATTGCTAAATGTGTTCTCCCCTCCCCCCCTAAAACCTTGAGGTCCACCAGTGGTAGTCATGCACTAAACAGTAACTTGGGTCAGCTGTGTGGGGAGCCAGATGCAATATGCTCAGGGAACAATAATAATCGCCTACAACTTTTACTCAAGTGAAACTACCATGTCGCAACACAGCACATGACCGGTAGTCATATGCTTCACTCTCCATCTTATTGTTGCCAGAGGCCATGCCTGCACTGCTGTATTTCCTGCTAATACTATGTATGATTTTGTTTCACAGCGCATAGAGCACATTTGGTTTGTCATCGTCTGATCCCTCTCTGATCCCAGATACTGCACACGTTTCCGTTACGTGATGCCCTGTGTGCTTATGCTTTTGTTGGTGTTTTTAATGTGATGCTGTTGCGTCATTGTTCATATACTGCATTTTATGGATTTTTTTTTTGCTTTATATTGTGGTATTGTATATAATTTTATTGTTTTACAGTTTCCTGTTTGAATTCAGACTATAAGCTGTCTGGGGAACTCCCCGTTCTTCCCGCTATTGAAAGCATGGGGTATCCAGTACAGTATTTAAATAATACGTAAATCAACCGTCAAATAAATGGAAAAATTGCCTTCACACATTTTCAAGGCAGGGGTTAATCATATTGGGTACTGTACTGAACAGTGCCAAGCACCACACAACTCTGACATACATTCTCACTTCCGTGTGCTAACACAAATAACTACATGAGCTCACACTCAGTGAGGGGAAAGGAAATTATTTTTCTAGTGGTGGAGACAATACATGCCAGGGAAAGGCTTCACGACAAGATCTGCCCTGTGGACTTATGAACAGTGGAAAGAATTTCCCACAGGCCAAGTTAACACAACACGTGAGGAGGAAGGGTGACTACAAAGTTCATCTGTGGTGCTGCTGCAGTCCATCTGATCCCTGCAGTCCACCTAGCATAGGCTTCCTGGATAGCTTCCCATTTGAGGGGAAAGAGTCTGAAAGGGAGAAAGTCTGAAATTTCCAGAGTTCTAGCTCTTCCTGGTTCCTGGAGAGAATGAGGAAGTGGCAAGCAGAAATACTGGTACCTAAAGGAGTGCCTCAACAGCAACCTGAGAGGGGGCGTTTCATGACTCTGAAACAGCATGGAATAATTCACAGCTGAATTATTATTCTACGCCACTTCTTTCTTTCAAAAACAACTTATGGTGCCTCAAAATTCTTTGCGGTTTTTGCTGCAACCATGGTTATGTACATATTACCAGCTCAAAACACAGCCAGGTCTTTTTCTTTCTCAATTCGGATCAATGCTGATTGGGGAGGGGGACTCGGTACTGTATTTCATAAGAAACACAAGGATATATAAGGATTGTAGCTAATATTGTGTGTACACCACTTCCCAATGCAGCAGTGGGAACACATAGAATGTAGAGTGAATGGAAGTGTGTACACACAGCCAGACTAGCATGTCTACCCCTCTGGAAATCCTTCCAGTCACACTAACATTTATGTTTCCCCCCAAGACATCTGTCCTGCTGCCAGAAGCGTAAACAGCTGCCGCCTAGATATGCATTCTCTCATAGTTGGATCATGTGAGTTTATCTTTTGCTGTTTGTTCCAACCCCACAGGGGCTTCTGGTTTAGTTGGAGTATGAGTGCTTCCAGACTGTTCAGGTGGGATTCACATACCCCCAAACATTCACAGTGGTACCACTCTCATCTCTGCTTCATCAGATGAAACCCCCTCTCCCCAGCCTGATGTTGGTCTCTCATCAACACCCATCATCCCTAGCCGGCATTAGGAAAAATGTGGTCATTGCTGCTTCTCTCAACACCCTAGACAAATTCACGCTTGCCGTAGGAAATCAGCCATTGTCCTGCTGGTCCTGATTGTGAAGATAGAGCTGTTAATGGCACAATAACCTCCCCCACCCCAAATGCCATCCTGTTCCCATTTACCTGGGAATAAGCCCCACAAAGAGACTCACTTCTGAGTTGACATTGTACTATAAGGTAACTAACCACACAGTGAATTTTTATTGAGTGTCTGGCTCTAGGTCCTGCCGAAACATCTGCGCATAGTTTTCACATTTTGCACCTGTCATTTGGGGAGGGGATTCTTCAGCATCCGCCTTCACTTATCACATAATAGCATTTGCAAAATATAGCTTCTAGGGAGCACCTGATAAACACACCCAGGAAAGATGCATTCTAGTTGCTAGGTGCAGAAGGAAGGGCAAATGCTGGAGATTCCAAGGACTACTGGACAAAAGCTGGAAAAGTGCTATAAATGGAAGAGGAAAAATACAACTCTTTAGGACTCCAGGGATTCCTACTTACTGGTGTCCAAACAATGCACTTATCAATCAAAACTCATTACAGTGGTACCTCGCAAGACGAATGCCTCGCAAGACGGAAAACTCGCAAGACGAAAGGGTTTTTGGTTTTTTGAGTTGCTTCGCAAGACGAATTTCCCTATGGTCTTGCTTTGCAAGATGGAAACGTCTTGCAAGTTTGTTTCCTTTTTCTTAAAACCGTTAATACAGTTGCGACTTGACTTCGAGGAGCAACTCATAGCACGCGGTGTGGTAGCCTTTTTTGAGGTTTTTGAAGACTTTGGTGATTTTTGAAGCTTTTCCAAAACTTTTCCGAAACCGTGCTTCGCAAGATGAAAAAATCGCAAGACGAAAAACTCGCGGAACGAATTAATTTCGTCTTGCGAGGCACCACTGTATCTAAAAATCCTGACAGGCTGACTTTTTCCCACAGAAATGGCTTAGAAGGGTACCTGCACATTTTGCTTCTTAACTTTCTTTCTCGGTGGGATAGAGACTTACTTCTTTCTTTAAATATAAGCTCAAAGTTGCCTGACTGGGAGTGCCAATAGAGGCCTTTAGCAACACAGTATGGCTCAGATGCTTCATAAGGCAATATAGAATCAGTACAGTGTGGTTCCAGGCACTCCACATATGGATTTGACTGCATGGCACTTAAGTTGTAAGCAAACACAGTTTATGACAGTGCAAATCATTACTGATCATGGGACACATCTGTTATGTAATTAGCCTTAGCTTCCAATTTCCTGGCTTTATGGCATTTGAGCCAACATGAAGTAGTTTTAACTCTGGTCTTAAACTGGCAGATTTTTAAAATCAATGAATCTTTTAGGTTTTTGAACATAGCTGTCAATGTTTCCCTTTTTTTAAAGGGAAATTCCCTTATTCCGAATACGATTCCTCACAAGAAAAGGGAAAAGCTGACAGCTAGGTTTTTGAAATGTTAGCAATCTGACCTTTTCCCATCCAATTCATTTGCAGCCATTAAGGAAGCAGCTTACATGATTCTCCTCCTTTCCCTGTATATCCTCATAATGACCCTGTAGTAGAGGCTCAGAGAAAAAGTCTGGCCCAAAGTCACCCAATGAGCTTCACAGCTGAGCAGGGATCTGAACTCTAGTCTGCCTCTCTACCACACTAGCTCTTTTAAGATTTGTTCTTTTTCACCCACCTCCCTCTCTTCAGCAGCAGCAACGGTGTCATTTAATTAGCCATCTGTTCTAATGTTTAGGTAATTGGAAAGGGTTTTTAACATTCTTCGAAAGCTGCTCAATCCCCTGCAAAGCTCACTACTGCAAAAGCAGATTTAGCATTGTTGTTTTTTCCAAAGGGAGAGGGAAGGAAATAGCAGCATAACTGCTCCTTTACAACAAGGCTCTCTGACCCTTAGCTAAATATCTGCCCCATAAATAATCCGCCTGCATTTTTCACTGGCAAAATGTTGGAGGGAGACGGAGTATGATGCAAGGGCTAAGCTGCACTTTAACTTGTTGGGAGGACATGCATTCCGTGGCCATGCCAAAAGGCCCTTTCAGTGCTTATCACTTTGTTTGCTTATTATCCTGCTGCTGCTTATTTTTAAAAAATCTTTAAAAGAGGGGAAGGAAAGGGAGGTGACCATACTCTTTCCAAAGATCAGTTAAGTTTGTGAAGCAGTTTCAGAAAACATACTTTCTAATTGTGCTTGTCTTCAGTTTTCATATGACCTACATACAATGTCACTGAAGCACAGTTGGTGTTTTTTCTTCCCTCCCCTGTGGCACAGGAGAAAAAAAGCACTGAAGACTTTTCCTACTGCACTGTTCTGAGAACAATCAAAACAATCTTGTTTCTGCAGTCCCACCCTGTGCAGTCTGTAAACAGCTCTCCTGGATACGAATGGTAGCGATGGCCCCATGAGGAGAAAGCACTCAGCATTCTGAGTTTCTGACAGAAAAGAGAACAAACACAAATTCAAGAACCTTCGGCTGCAATTTCAGCCCTCTGAAGAATTACAAAATGGTGTTCACATGGCTGCAGGTTCTGTCAGGAATCACAGGGCTCTGGTTAACCTTTCCTCTGGCTGGCTGGCAGCTCTCTGCAATAGTGCTCCATCACTTGGGTCTAATTACAATGGCAAGTTCCACCACCATAGCATTTCATCGCCTTATCATGCGGTAAGAGAGGAAAGAAGGAAAGGAAAAATCAAGAGTCTTTTACGAAGACACGTTATGCTGTCCTACGTCTGGATCCTTTGCTGTCGCTTGAGGCTCAGGTGGCCTCAGTGGTGCAGAGTGGCTTCCATCCGCTTCAGTTGGTGGCCCACTTCAGCTCCTATCTGTACAAGTATAGCCTAATTTCTGTCGTCAATGCTCTGGTAACTTCTAGGTTAGATTATTACAACACGTTATATGTGGGGCTGCCTGTGAAGACGGTTTGGAAACTTCAGCTGGTGCAGAATTTGGCAGCTAGGTTGCTGACTGTGGCAAGACGGTTTGAGCATATTACATTAATATTACACTGATCCTGGCCCAACTGCACTGGCTGTCAGTTAGTTTCCAGGCCCAATTCAAAGTGCTGATTTCGGCCTATAAAACCTTAAATGGCTTAAGACTGCAATACCTCAAGGACTGCCTCTCTCCATATGAATTGACCTGGACCCTACGATCACCACCTGAGGCCCTTCTTCTACATGAGGTCCAGAGGATGGCAACACGAGAATGGGCCTTTTCTGGCGCCTTTAGGTGCCAGATGAAAACGTTTCTCTATAACCAGGCTTTTGGCTGATTGATATGGCCTTTGAAATGTTTTTGTGGGAAGGGGTTATTGGTTTGTCCCTGTTTTGTTTTGTTTTTAGTATGAATTTTGTGTTCTCATTTTCCATTGTTCCAGGCCACACCAATCTCTGCTGACCGGTTGCAAGATTCCAGAGGTCTTGGCACTTAACCAGGGTTTGCGTTCCTTTAAGAAATATGTTTTATTCAAACATATTTACACCTGGGTTTTATGGAGAGAGAGAGAGTTCACAGCGTTTACATCCCAAGAGGGGCTTGTCCTTCCTAGCAGCACCATCCTCGTGTCTCTCTGTAACAGCCTGATCCAGCCAGCCAGCATGCAGTTCTGCCTACGTCCTCCTTCCCCTTCCCAGCAGCACTTGCAGAAACCACTCCTGTTTCAAACGGACACCTTTCTTCCTGTGGTGACATCCTACACCCTTGTTACTCCTGGCAACCTCCTCCTCTCAGTTCTTTCCCTGCTAAATCATCCACATATCGAGGCATCCAGGGAGATTTCTACTGCAACGGGAGTAATATTTTTGGCCCTGGACAAGACCTTAGAACATATGGTGGCTTGTCATTTTAACTTTCCTGAGACCAAGACCCAGGGAACAAAGAAGCAATTTATTGAGGGGGAAGCTAAAACAAAACAAGTACAGTGGTACCTCGGGTTAAGTACTTAATTCCTTCCGGAGGTCCGTACTTAACCTGAAACTGTTCTTAACCTGAAGCACTACTTTAGCTAATGGGGCCTCCTGCTGCTGCTGCGCCACCACCACACTATTTCTGTTCTCATCCTGAAGCAAAGTTCTAAACCTGAAGCACTATTTCTGGGTTAGCGGAGTCTGTAACCTGAAGCGGTTGTAACCTGAAGCGTATGTAACCCGAGGTACCACTGTATCTCATATACCTTTTGAGTTCTCTGAAAGAATTCTGGGTACTGTAGTTTAGGGAAGCTTTTAATGTTTAATAGATTATTGTATTTTAATATCCTGTTGGAAGCCGCCCAGAGTGGCTGGGGAAACCCATCCAGATGAGCGGGGTATAAATTATTATTATTATTATTATTATTATTATTATTATTATTATTATTACACTGTAGCTGACCTACCTCCCCCTGCAATATTTTTTTCGTTGGAACTCCTGCATGTGTGCTCTGTCTCTCTCACAAATGTATGCGCACAAACATCAGCCTCAGATTATTGGTGAGTGTTCTTGAGTGAATTAGAAGATCTATTCCAGACTTGCATTATCCTTTCCAGTGTTTTGGCAGAGTGGAATAAAAACATTGTGTTCTTTTCTAAAACCCAGCGGAGCAAAACCCTTCGGTTCTGCCCAACCTTAGAAACAAATAAAAATGTTTCAGTTCACTGCAAAAAGAGCAAAGCGGAAGAGCTGTCACTGGCTCAGCAGAAGCAGGCCAACCCTGCTTGATGATTGCCAGAGACAGGAATTTGATAAAATTACTGTAACCAGATCACGGAAAGGTGAAGTCTTGGGGGGTATTTATAGAAAACTGATTTGCAAATGGTTGCCAATGTCATGTTTCCCATTTACAGACTTTTTCTGTGGAACTAGAATTTGTGCTATTGTCTATCTTGCCTGTTTTTAACTTGTACCACTCTTTGACATTTCTTTTGTAGTTACCCATGATAAATACAATAAAGTCCCACTTAGCCATACCACAGCTAATCACGAAGAAGCAAGTGTGTGGATACACAGAGCAAAAAATCACTGCTACTTCACTCCCCGCCCCCCCAATCCTGCTTCTGCTGGGGAGGCAAACCAAAAGCCTGGGTTCACAAATAAAGAATGCGCTAAGGCACACCATGCTGGAGGTTGTATGCAGTGGTTTTTTTCTGGGGGAACGCAAAGGTACACATATCCCTAAACATTTTGTGAATCTTTGTATTTTTGTCCATTTACTGTATTTATTTTTCCAGATTTGAACTATAAAATGGTGATTTTCTTGAGTCAAAATGAGAGAACCCCTAAACATATTTTTGGAAAAAAGCACTGGTTGTATGGATAATATTTCATCACTTGTGGCATGGATTTAAGCCTTGTAGACATTCAGATGGGACACACATGGGCAAAAGTGTGCAGAGGGACAGAGGCATACATGCTAGCCCCATTCTCAATATCGCTGGACCAACAGCCCCTTGTCATTTTGTTCTTCCTGCAAGATGGGTGTATGAGCAACTTCCCAGTGGTCCTGGGTCCCTTGCCTGATGGCAGAGGCCAGAATATGCATCCCATCTTTTCTACAGTCAGGATCCATAACATATTTGAACCCAGTTCTCCCAATTTAAGGTCAGTATTTATCACAGAGCACTTCCAGGCAATTTTCTGGTGGGATACAATACCAGCAAATGCAGCTTTTGTGGCTTCAGTTGTACAACTGTTGCTCTTGTACCACAAACCCCTCCAAAAATCAGAGTGTTTGCAATATTTATTTATCTACCTTTATCTATTTATTAAATTTGTATACCGCCCTCTATCTCGTGGTGGTTCACAGCATAAAAATACAAGATAAAAACGCAAAATATATAATATAAACAAAACAGTAACACCCCCTCCGTCAAAAACATTAAAAAGGATGTTAGTCAGCCAAAGGCCTGGTTGAAGAGGAACATATTCGCCTGGTGCCTAAGTGTGCCAGGTGTAAGGTAAAAGGTAAAGGTACCCCTGCCCATACGGGCCAGTCTTGACAGACTCTAGGGTTGTGCGCCCATCTCACTCAAGAGGCCGGGGGCCAGCGCTGTCCGGAGACACTTCCGGGTCACGTGGCCAGCGTGACAAGCTGCATCTGGTGAGCCAGCGCAGCACACAGAACGCCGTTTACCTTCCCGCTGGTAAGCGGTCCCTATTTATCTACTTGCACCCGGGGGTGCTTTCGAACTGCTAGGTTGGCAGGCGCTGGGACCGAGCAACAGGAGCGCACCCCACCGCGGGGATTCAAACCGCCGACCTTTCAATCGGCAAGTCCTAGGCGCTGAGGCTTTAACCCACAGCGCCACCCGCGTCCCTTGTGCCAGGTGTAGGATAACATTTACTTGATGCAGCATTGTGTAACTTCCCCTCAAACGAGTCAGAATGAATGCTTTATAAACAGGTATATGCAAGAAACAGTTTCTAAAGTAGGCTGCTCACAAAAGAAATGAATGTAACATGATACAGCAAGAAGCTTGGTAATCATATTTTTTTTGTGTGTGTGTGTGTGTGTGTGTGTGTGTGTGTGTGTAGCAACAACACTAAGCCAACGTAACAAGTTAACTTACTTCAGCAGAAGCTTAGATACAATCCACATGCGAAGCATATAATTAATTATGCCACAGCCAAAATAAGGCCATAGACTGAGGCAGGGGAGATACATCATCTGATCTATGTGTCACCAGATAGTTAACAGGAAGAATTTTCAAGGCACTGAAAAAACCAGTTACTGTGCAAAATGTGTCATGGACAGGGGCACTGAAGCAAAGCAGCATACACCAATGTACAGTGGTACCTCGGGATAAGTACTTAATTCATTCCGGAGGTCCATACTTAACCTGAAGCACCACTTTAGCTATGGGGCCTCCTGCTGCTGCTGTGCCGCCGGAGCACGATTTCTGTTCTCACCCTGAAGCAAAGTTCTTAACCTGAAGCACTATTTCTGGGTTAGCGGAGTATGTAACCTGAAGCGTATGTAACCTGAGGTACCACTGTAGTCTGAAATGTACCAAGCAGCTAACCAATGCCATAAGCCCATTTCCTTCTCCAGAGGTAAGAACAAGCAAGACCAAGAGGGAAATGGCATTCTTGGAGGTTCAAGAGGTGTTGGTGTACAAGCTCAGATTATGAAACTGATTCATCCAGAGTATCTGTTGACGCAAATCTTATCTAGAATGAAGGGGAGTAGCTGGAGGACGGAGTCTTGAGCAACTCCATTCATTTCAGTGCGGCTTCTTCAGGAGACAGTGCCAAGAGTCTAGATGCTAATCTGTTTTGCAACGTGATCGCCTTGTACAGTTTGATCTGCTTAATGTGCTGTTCTTCTAGCGACAGGCAAGTGGCCAGTTGTGGTGATGAAAAACAATTCAAATTAAATTTCCTCAGGAGGCACCTGGTCAGCTAATTAAATGTGTGAATAACATATAATAAAAGGCAAGCATGTAATAAAACAACTGAACAAATGGAAAAAAAGCATGTGAAGACGTCAACACATGCCTGCTTCTGGTTCAACTCCCCTGGACTTCACCATGTGTGGGAGCTTTATTCTGGCTTATTTTGGGGGTTTTCTGTTTTTGTGATTTTCCCCCTCCTGTTTTTGTGATTTAGTTTGGTATTTTTACACTGGTTTTCAATCCATTTTCTTTTTTCTTGACCCCTGCTCCAAATACCTTTTACTCAGGAAAGCATTCCCCCCCTTCTTTTAATATTTAAGGTGTGAGATTTTAAATCTGAAATTGTGTCCTTAAAGAAGTTAACATTTGAAAATCTATATCAAATTCAATGAGCTGTATTCAAAAGTAATACGTATACAGTACTCAGATGTAGTAGTCCTTTTTGAGTCAGAGTGAAATGTAGGAATCAATTCTGAGATTTTGATGTTTGGTTTTAATACCAGTATTTGACTTTTAAATGGATATTTGTATTTCAACACAAAAATTGTTACAATGAAAAAAAAAAGAGCAAATAATCTATGGCTACATACAAGTAATTAGGACATAATTTACTTCAGTGGAAGAGCCTTTCACTTCCCTCACTGATGAACCTCAAATCAATAATTCCCTGGTACCATCATCAAAGTTGCCTTTAAAGTTGTAAATCTATTTTGTTTACAGAGAAATCTGAGGGCTCCCTTGGACAAAAAAACAAGGACACCAGCCAGGAATACCAGAGCAAAACAGCAGCCATTAGGCTTGAAGGCTTGGTCTTTATTGAAGACTATCGCGACAGAACTCCCACCTGCCACCAGGTGAAACAAGATGGAAGCTCCATACAAAAGAGAACCCAAACTTTTATTAGTTGCTAATCCCCATGTGTTTGGGACACAGGGTGGCACTATGGGTTAAACCACAGAGCCTAGGACTTGCCGATCAGAAGGTCGGCGGTTCAAATCCCCGCTGTACGCCAGCTCCCTTGGCCAATAAAGTGAGATGAGCGCTGCAACCCCAGAGTCGGTCACGACTGGACCTAATGGTCAGGAGTCCCTTTACCTTTAATCCCCATGTTGCAGGATGCGGTTGGCGCTGTGGGTTAAACCACAGAGCCTAGGACTTGCTAATCGAAAGGTCGGTGGTTCAAATCCCCGCGACGGGGTGAGTCCCGTTGTTCGGTCCCTGCTCCTGCCAACCTAGCAGTTTGAAGGCACGTCAAAGTGCAAGTAGAT